CTGAAGCTTCTCCAAGCTCATCACACGCTCTACATTATCTTGAATAAATTTTACTGTAAGTAATTTTTTATAACCAAATATTTTTCTTTAAACAAGAAATACGTTTCTTGTTTCAAGAAATAAATATCCTACCCTGCAATCTATTTTAAAAAACAAGAAATATATTTCATGTTTTGAGAAATTAATATTTTAAACTATGCTTAATAGATTTACGGTTTTGCTGTGAGTTCTGAGCAATTGTTAGCAGCTTTGAAAGATTTTTAAAGTTTTGGAATTCATTGTACCCAAAAAGTCTGAGGTAGTCTCATCCGTTGGAATTTTTTAAACTATGACTTAAAATATCAAAAAGTAAACAGTAATCTATAAAATATACTACTCAAGACCAGGTGGCTGGTCTTTATCAACAAAAACTACACTCAGAAGGACTTCAGCTTTGATTCTATCCATTTTTACACCTTTTCGGACCTCTCTTTGTTTTTGAATACAGAACATTTTACCATCTTTATATTGTGATCTCGGTCAAAAGATGCTAACGCCTGCACCAGCATCTCTAAGGTTTTGACATAATTTAAATTTCACTTTTGCTGCAGGCTCAATATACATCTGCCAATAGTCTTGTTGATCTTTTTTTTTAATTTAATTTATTCATTATAGTAATCGATACAACTTCTTGATAACATTGATGAAGGGAAGCACATCAGGCTTTCCTATGCTGACAATGGTCATTGCTGCAACCGAAGCAGCATTTTAAACGTGTTTTTTGAAAAAGTGCACAGTGCACATCAAAGTGCACATCAACTACATTCTGAGCTAATTTGTTCTATCGGTTAGTAACTCGATTTTGTAAAGAAGTGCTGACGTTATGAATTTCTTTTGATCAGTTGTGGTTTTAAACATCGGCTGTTTCTTCTCAGATTATATCGTGAATTTAACAAAAAAGGCTGAGCTTGTGGTATATAAAATTTAACTTCTTGTAAGTGATGAGCAATTTTGTATTGCAGTATAAAATCACTGCGAATTCTGTGCTTTCACTTTGAGGTTGTTGGATATTAATATAGGTATGTGTTGATTTAGACAGGTTGTTGGACATAGTATAGGTATGTGTTGATTTATTTTTGCGGCAACCAACGTGCATTACTTTGCACTTCTTGATGTTGAAGTGCATAAGCCATTTATGTGACCAACTTACAGCGTTGTCAATGTCTGTTTGCAGTGTTTCATAATCAGAGGATGATTGATTATTATTATTAATTAATCTTAAAAACGTAATTAAAGTTAAAAATAATGCAATTTAGATAAAATAAGATTTAAAATGACATTGCTAAATACTTATCACATTTATTTTTGACAAGATAAAATTAAAGTGCTATTTCTATTGATTTCATTTTTATTATATTTCTAATGGTTTTAGAAAAAAAACTGGTTTAGAATTATTTTTTTGTATTTAACTTCTGATTTTAAATCATTTTGCAAACCATAGTTTTTAAACAATTTGTTACTTTATGACATAAATTATTTTTAAATAATAAGACTAAAATATCCAAATTTATGAAATTAAGTTTTACTTTTAAAAATGCGTAATCATAAAAGTTGCAGGTCGAAAACCGTGATTCCCCGGAAATAGAAATTTAGTCAGCCATTCTATAAATCTCTTTGAGTATTTTATTACTCAGAATAAAAACCTGCCTAATTTTAGAAAAATGCAACTTGAATTTCATAAAAACCAAGGCGTGTGAAATAGCTACATATTTGTTAATTTTCACCTAATGGTTTGATTTTCCGCAAGTTCACAGTAATCTCTGCACTTCTCAAAAGTCTAACTCTGACATGTAAATAATTTTAAAATTAGAAACTTATTCATTTTGTGTTTGCAAAATAATATTTTAATGTCAAGCAGTTTTATCTTTACCTCACTGTTTTTTAGCCTTTTAGGGTTTTATGATATAAATCGTTAATTCCCCAACTTAACTGTTTTATTTACGGCTGCGGCTAAATGGAGCTCTCCTACATGATGGCAGGAGGTTAACAATAATAATGGTTGGCCAGGAAACTTAGCTAATCTTGTACAAACTCCTTTTAAATAGCTAGGGCTTGAACTGTATGAGATAAAAAGCATCTAAAAAATTTCTAATTGCTGTGTATTGGGCCTCAATGCTAACGTGTTTAAAAACTACGTTTTTTTAATTTCATACAGATTTGTGCGTTTTTAAAATACTACCAGTTAACAAAAATAATAGTATTAAAATGCGCACAACCGGTATAGATAAAAACCTTCTATTACTTGTAATGACGTTGTTATATAGTTTTAAAAATTTCATTAAGAAAACAATACCTTGGGAATATTTTTTTTTAATTCCTACAAAGTTTCATACCAAAAACTGAACAAATGAAATTAAGTATGTTTTATTTAAATGAAGCAGTATATTTTTTTTATTTTTTATTTTTTGAACTTAAAATAAAGTTCAAAGTAACGTGAGTAAAATAAAATTAACAAAAAAAGTTAAATAAAAAAAAAAGGTAAAAATGAGTAGGCTGTACACCGGATCTTAGTCAGAAGGATCAGTTATCATTCGTCATGCGATTTGAAAAAATTAATATAAATGCAAGTTCTCTTAAAAGGGAAAACGAAGATATAAGCATCGAAGAACATTTCCATGGAATCTTAGACGTTAATTCATCAACGGGAAAAAATCTAACTGATTTTCTTTTACAAGAGTTAGATGA